TAGATAGATAGATAGATAGATAGATAGATAGATAGATAGATAGATAGATAGATAGATAGATAGATAGATAGATGATAGATAGATAGATAGATAATTTTCAGGAATATGGTTGGACAAAACAGTTACATAACTCAAGAGTTTAGAAGAGGCTACAGTATTTTTTTACTATTCTGTTTTGCTCTCGGAATCAGAGGTGGGATGCTCCTGGTTCGACCCGGATTGGGCAAACTGGTAGCGGCGGCAGGACGTTCCCCCCTCCTGCTTGGATGCTTCTGCGCATGTACAGAAGTGTCACACGAGCGTGAGCACCTGAACTGGTAGTAAAAAAATTGGCAACCCACCACTGGTCAGAATATATATAAATTACAAGAAGATGTCAATACATTTGACAAAGTGCAATTCAAAATCTTTTGTGATTCATACACCTTAGATCTCCATGTTTGAAATCTGATTACTATATTAAGTATTACAGTTTGATAGTGCTTCGGGTAGTAAACTATATATAATAAAGGATCGACCCAGTTTGTTGAGAGAATGTGAGGGAGGCAGTCCGCTCCTCTCCCCCGTTGGCCCATTGTTGCAGCAAGGACAGGTGGGAAGAATGGAGGAGAATCACAGATTATTCCCTACTGCCATTGCAATAATGGACCTGGGAGTGAAGGGAGTGGCTAAAGCAAGTATTGGAGAAGCCACCAGAATCACCAAAGGCTCTGCTTCTGGTCTCTGGTCTAGGCCTTACTTACCCCACTTCCTGGCAATCTGGAGCAGCTACAACCCCTCCCAAATTCTTGGTACTAAATTCTACACTATTTGTTCGTGACTTCTATAGGGTTCTTGCCTGTATAACTAGATTTACTGAATGTATGGGACAAGGATTGGGAAGCCCTGCAGGAACTAGGGGCCCCAAGCAGTGGTGGGTTACGGATCCCGGTGCAACCGGTACAGTGCAATGGGGCCCGGCGTCCCCCACATGCATGCGCACAATGCGCACAGCACGCACGCGCGTTCTTACATCCACGATGCCTCCGCAATGCCTCCACGACACACTAGCTGCTCGNTGGATATCAGTTTTACACTATGTCTTGCATCTGTTTTCTCAGACAGGCATCCAGCAATCTGTACTGTACTTTCTTGCTATATTCAAAGTTTGGCCACTTTCATTTGTGGGTATGCTGGAGCTTGACAAAAAGGTACGTCCATTGTCTTAGTGATGCTCTCCTCTCTAATAATACCTGAAGGTAGATCAGTATTTTAAGCCTTCCACTGTCTTGAATCAATTAGCAATAGCTTATTTAAATTTAATATTAATGTACCATCATTATTTTGCTTCCAGGAGAGGCTATAGCTTAGTGGTGGTTTACATGCTCTCCATGTAGAAAGCCCCAGGTTCAGTTCCAGGCATCCCTCCTGATAAGGCTCCTAGGATTGACTGTGTAATACATGGAAAGAAATTGAGAGCTACTGAACAACAGAGCAGATGGTCCTTAACTAGATGGACAGTTGTGTGGTTTGGTAGAAAATAGCTACTGACATCCTCATATGGGCAACTCTTTAGGTCATCTTTTGTTATGAGATGCTGGAATCCTCCAGTGATCGCTTGACTAATGCAATTTTTTTCCCATTCCTCAAACCAGATCTTTGGAAATAGCATGGCAGATGTTTCAGTATCTCATGAAATGCTGATTGTAACGCACAGCACAGGTTATGTCAGATTGTATAGCTTCCAGGCAATCTCTGAACGGGTAATAGCATACAATTACAATACTTTATTCTTCCTTTTTTTTTTTTAAGTATCACTATGAGCTTATATGAGATTTTTAAGTGAATTTTAACTTTTGCCAGTGAGGGCATGGGGAGGCAATTTACTATCTACCTAGGCACTAACCAAAAAGCATGTTTGGATCCAAATTGAAGAAAAGAAAAGATGATTGTAAAAAATACTTCCTATTTTTTATCTTTTTCCTCTTTTTGGTTTTTATTATTTTTATTATATTTAAAGATGGCTTCATTTCATTGGATTTTTTTTAGTGTGTTTAGATGTTTTGACAACATTTTGCATTTTTAACAAGAACATGCTTGGCTCCAAGCCAATGCAGTATAGAGGACATACATTTAATTTAATCAGCAATGTACCATTGAAGAGCGTTTGACCATTTTAATTAACAAACAAGGCTATAATTTGACAATATAATTTGAGGTTGCAATCTCATACACACAATTATTCAGGAATAAATATAGGTAACTCCATACAAAGAAGATACCAAACATTTGTTATAAATCAACGTAGACCTCTCTTAGATGTGTATACAAGCACATTATATACTGTATGTGCAATAAAATTAACCAACTGTGATATTATTTTTAGTTCATGGAACACCCGGTGGATTTGGGACAGGAATACAGCTGGAATGGCAACGTTGGGATTGTGGGAAAATATCCTTTTGGCATTCCATGTAACATTAAAATAACAGGTATTTATAAAGGCTTATTGTTCATCAGCCTAACTGGTTGGCTTTAGGTTTTGTTTTTAAAAATGCTAGCATTCCCAATTCGTTTTATAATCTGATGGTATTTTTATATACTGTTGTATATTAGCCCTTCCCAGTGTAATCCTATACAAAGTTAGCTCTTTGAATTCAGTGACAATCACTTCTAAGCAGGTGAATACAATAACATTGCAGCAGGTGAGGTGGTGGTGTTAAAAAGTGATACAATTTTTTAAAAGTTACACTGACTAAAATATTAAGGTGTTGCAGTATTCTACTGGTATCCCACACTAGGGAAACCAGCAGGGAAGGTCCCAAGTTGCTCTGGTTAAGTCTCTCTCCTTGCCCTTTCTTTCCCCACATGCACCAAGCTCTTCTTCCCCCCTTTACTCACATACCCACCAAGCACCCCCCCCCTTCTGTAGCCTCCCTGCATTCGCATTGACACATGTAACCACTAGGACCATGTTTGAAAGGAACTTAACAAAGGCACCAAATCAGAGGTAGTATTCAGCAGGTTCTATCAGTTCTGGAGAACCAATAGCAGAAATTTTGAATAGTTCAGAGAACCGGTAAATACCACCTCTGACTGGCCCCGCCCCCATCTTTTCTCTGCCTCCCGAGTCCCAGCTGATCAGGAGGAAATGGGGATTTTGCAGTAATCTTCCCCTGCCACGCTCCACAGAATGCGCCAAATGAATTTATTTGGGAAAGTGCTCTAAAAA